ACCATTTCAAATGATATATGCAGCAGGATGATTATCTTAACAACATTCCAAGGTAAACGTTTGTATCATTTCTTAGAAGGAACACTGAGGAAAATTAAGTTGGGCTCCACTGTGAAAAGAAGGCCAACATCCAATTTCCCAACATCCTCAGAAAATATCGATCTTTAAAAATCAATTTCTTCGTAACTAGGCAAAAGGAGGAGGAAATACGTATATCATACCGGAACATGTGCCATCTATTATCAATGTGAAAAAAATATGAAAAATGAATCATGGGGTTTTTGAGATATATTTCATATATCTTTTCACTATTTTTGAAAAAATAAAATTTGACAATGAAGTTCAACTTAGGCATGTATGATGCAAATGTCACATGACACATACGTGATAGCATGTAGTTTGGAAATATAGTCTTGATTGATGAGAAATGCATTGAAGGGAAAAAAAATTGCGAAAAGCACAAATTCCGCAGTCATGCTGATTTTGAAAATGACAAAATACCTACTTTAAAAATAATAACCAGGCTCATTTCAACATGAGTACACAGAACACAGATTAAAGTAAGTAATGAATTGTAAGTAAATGGAATTAATTAAATTTGGACATAACATAAATTGGGAGGTGTTATCCACTCATTGACTCAATTAGTTTAAGCCATTCGCACAATACCTCGGAGTTCAACTCGAATCGCATTACTCACGACTTAAAAAAATTAATGAATCACTGTAGAATTGGTAATGTAAAAAGTTTTCAATTGAATGAACATTTGATGTTATTACGCAAGTAGCAAAGGTGCGTCAAGGGAAAGTTTAATGAACATTTCATTTAATGTCTTGCCAACGTTACATAAATGTCTCCGGGGAGCGTTCCTCCAATGCTCAAATGTCTGAAGTTGAAACAGATCAATAGCATTTCAAATTTGGCGTTCCCTGAACCAATGTAGCACCCACACAGGGAATCAACGTTGATTCAACGCCATTTCGTCAACGCAGCTAATGCTGAAACTACATTGCCCCGATATAAAAGATCTCAAGATTGATTTGTGCGCATGTGCCGTTTCATTACTGAATCATTATTTGAATATCACCTCGATGCGATCACCTCCCTCTGAATTCCCTTTTTAAAGATCCCCTCTAAGGTCAAAGCGTACTTGATACTGAGACGAGAGTCATCATGTTCATCTGGAAAAGCAAGAGGACACCGGACGGATTACAAAGAAGTCATTAGTCCACCGTGATACATTCAATCTGCAAGGGTCCCCGATGAAGTCAGGGGACTTTATAACCTCTTTAAAAGCAAAAAACCCACTTTTTAATTGCAAAATTACCCTGGTGACCCTAGCTAGCCCTTGTGATCCATGAGACACAGGGCCACCAAATTCCGTCGTCCAAGTGCCCCACCCCTAACAAACCAAGGTTTAAAATATAGGGTTATGGATCACACCGATCCAGCCTCACAAATGCACTTTAGTTTATTAATAAGGTGCATGCCGAAATTTAAACATGCCTTCAAGTCAATCGATTAATTAGCTGAAAAATAAGAAGTATGTTATTTTTTATTGAATGCATTTTTATTATTTTGTGTTTGTATTGAGAAAACTCCACAATATCAGATGCTCACAAGGAATTTTTCTTGTTTGCTGCAATAGAATTCGGACCAGGCGTAATATCAATCACCTTATCATCTGCCATAAATAGAGCACTTTTCTTAATTGAAATGTATTCTGAGTGATTCGCTAAAATATTCAACGAACCCTGATGAAATGCACAAAAATAATCCTAATGGTAGGCATAAAACACAAGGGATTATGTACTGCAAAAGCATCCATTGAATCCAGGCTGGCTTAATGTTGACACTTCCACCGTGAATAGTGTAGCATTGAATTAATATTTAGTCAATGTGAATGCAGAAATGGGGACTCGACAGTCACCGTTTCTGCATCGCCTCACCGCATTGAATCAATGTTGATTCAACATTAAAGTATAAATCTTCATCAGCGATACATTCGATGCACACCAAATCAACGTTGAATCAATGTTATGTGCTATATGGGAACGTTCATTCAGGAGGTAACTTGAATATTCCCAAACAGCATCAAATGCTTGCATGTAATGTTCTACTCCCATGATAGAAAGCCACGAAAACAATTATTTTAATTGACAGTGCCGCCTCTCCTTATTTGGGAAAGATAGTACGCCGATCCTAACGTGTGAGTGCAAAGCCTTTCTGGAGCACAAAACTATTTGAATGATCACATCATCTGATGAGCAGTTCTTCCACGGTGCCAGAGAGGCATGCGGTTAGAGTTGGAGAATAAATATTTTTCCATCTTAGGTACACCTGTCTTACCCATTTTGAAGTAGGGAGACTGGTGCATCCTCTCCTAATGGATTATCTCGTTTGTGGGTTGATAAGATATAGATTGTTCAAAAGTTAGTTTACAGAAGTATTTTCTGTATGCTAATATCATTGGAACCTGGGTTTGTTGTAAACTTTGCGTGGTGTTATTGTTCTGATTATTTAATGTCATTATTGTCAACATGATTTTTTTCCATTTTAGGCGGAAGTTGATTGACGCATGACAGAAGACCAGCGGATTTCTGTTCTTAACAGAATAGTGAGTGTCGGGAAGGAATTTTAAATTCGTGACTATAGCTTTCCAGGATAAATTAACTGACACAAAAGCACCAAGGCAGAATAGAAATTCAAAAGCTTGGCTACAGGTTTGATCAAACAGGAAGTGGTAGTCTCACCACATCAAGAACTGAGCAGGACTGACAGCTTGTCTTTGAGAGTTTTGTCACAAGTCCAAAGAAATACGAACGATGAGCATCACGTGAGCTGAATACCTAAAGCAAAAGCGTGTTCTCTGTTCCTGCTGTAGTTGACCTACATTTTCTTGGCACATCACTCACGAAAGCTCTTTGATCAAGCGTGTAGCCAAAACTTTTGAATATATTGTCTGCCATGGTGCTTTTGCGTTGGGAAATATATCCTGGAAAGCTATAAACAGGGTTTAAGAAATATTTCCTAACACCCACCATTCTTCAAGTACAAATATTTATTGGTCTCTTGTCATTGGTCTATCCATCTCAACCTGAACTGAAAATAAAAGCATGTGCTGACAATTATGATAATTAACAGCCAATACAATAATATACGGCAACATTTACAAAAAACCGAGGATCCAATGGCATTAGTATACCTGGGAATCCTTTGGTAAACTAGCTTTTGGGACACCCTGTATTCTTGTCATCCTTTAATGCGTTCTGCACGAATTCCATGAAGTCGCCTTTGGAATCGAACCATCTTCCCTTTGTCCCCAGGGCCCGAGTTTCTGGAGACTCCTTGGACTAGGTTATTTCATAAAATCGATTAGTTAAATAATTATGTCGTCCTCTGTGGTGTCCGTGGAGGAAAATAACGGGAATTGCATGGAACGTTTTGGAGATTAATACCAGCCAGCTGTATGACGTACTGACTCGCTATAGCTGGTACTTTGGCGGCATCTAATTTCATTCGTGTGAACCGTTGTTTTTTCCCAGCCACTGTCAGATTGATAGCGCTGTTATGCTGAGGAAAAGTGCCTAATTAACGTTCAACGAAGGTCCATCAGTAACTAATGAAGCAGCACCTTAATTTAGCGTCAAAACGCAGTTCATACCTGAATCTTGAACGTCAAATAACCTATTTAAGCCGAGGGTGAACGTCCTCCTGAATGTTCCTGTGCTACTTGGGAATGAAGAGACTGGGAATAGTGATAGTTCAGATCTGGAAATTTGTGTGTAATTCCCCCCCAAAATTTAAAATTTATTGGCTGTGAACTTATACAAATTAGCAATTATTATCTGACGAACAGTTGCGTTAAATTACTGAAAAAATTATTATGCACCCAGTATGGAACCTTGTTCTAGTTTGATATATATGCAGGTGATTCCTTCATAGTGATGGTCTTCCCCAAGACCATCATGATTTCTTTCGTGGCTGGCTTGACGTGCTTTTAGGACACAACTTCCTCTAATATTAGGCTCTTTTAGATCGCCCCTTACATTGACATTGGTAGAGATTCCCATATTTGATATCATCACAATGCCGTAATAATCCTAAGTAGGTTCTGCAAGGGGTATGTCCAGATAGAATTTCATGATTGCCCTGTAACTTATCTGATCAGAGGTATATTTTCATCCTTCGATAATAAAAATGTAAAAAACCTCAAGAAGTTGATAATATCTCAAGGCGGTTTTTAGCACCCATGTTCTAAATGTTTAGTAAAATGTCAATATTATGGGGAATCCCCTAATGAATTCCATATGCGATATCAGTTCAAACATCAGTGTGTCTATTTCAGGACTAAGTGTTAATGTTTCAGGTCACACCTAGGAACATCGTGTCATCACCGTGTCATCACCGTGTCATCACCGTGTCATCACCGTGTCATCAGAAGAAACAGGAAAAGTATTTTCCAAGAGCTATAAATCATTCCTGTAGCTTGACTATGAGAGAAGATAAGCTCTGGGATAACTTTAAGGAAAGGAAGGTTCTGGGTCACAAAGGAGACCATTATTTCTTAACCCCTCATCTGAACACTTTGCGTACCGCTCACAGAGATTCTCGTTTTTGAGACTATTGCGACTCATCTTGCTTAGCCTATGGCCGAAAAGTCATAGCCTTGTTGAAGCTTTAGGCTAAGGCAACTGAGGCTATGGCCAGAGCGGCGTATCTACGGGGTATAATGTCCGGTACGCAATGTGTTGAGATGTTATTGACTGAAATTTTTTGCACATCTCACTCTCTCAATACTATACAGGTTTACCTGTCAGCAAAAACAGGAGTGTCATGTTTTGAAGTATATTGACATGAAAAAGAATGACTGTAGTTCTTCACTGAGGCTCTTGTTTAGGCGAAAATAGAACACGATATAATCCGGATCATCATCTCACAACCATTATTTTGTTCCGTTTGCAACAGGTACACTCAGAAAGCATCAAATGAAAACTCACGTTATCTTTTATCATTTGCCGCTCTCCCTGGTATACACTGCACGTCACTGCAGTTTGATTATCTTTCGTAGTAGTGTATCCCTTTGTTTTTTTGAAGGGAATTTGAGTGTTCCTCTTGACTACAATTGACATCAACCCTCCTATCACTTCAATCCCCATGGATAATCCAGTGACATCCATAACCAGCACCTCTCCACTCAATTCCTTTCGCAATATTGCGGCCTAGATTACAAATAAGAAGTCTTCCCTTAAGAAAAATGTTACCACATTGATTAGAAAGATGAAAAGAATGATCCCTCAGAAGTTGTTGGTTGTTTATGAAAATTCTAATTGGACTGAACCAAGGGAAAATTTAGGGAAATTTTCGTTCGTGAATATACTGGGAATTATATGAAATGAACTTACTTGAACAGCAGCGCCATAGGCGACAGCTTCGTCAGGATTGATGTTTTGGCAAATTTTGTTGGCCCCGAAGAATGTTGTCACCAAGTCTTGAATTTTTAGAATGCGAGTAGAGCCACCAACAAGTGCTACCTCATCGATGGAAGCCTTATCCATGTTGGCATCCTTGAGAACCTGCAGAAATTTCAACGTAGTACAGGATATCTTCATGCATCCTTAGCACAATTGTTACCAGATTCCCCGCCTGGCGCGCCAGTGCATCCTTTCAATACATTGCGAAGAAGTTTCATGCTATCTCGCCTGGCGCACAGATGCTATCTTCCCGCAATTGCTTCTCTTGTGGTAAAAAAAAAAACCAGCGTTTTAAGGTGCTTGGACACCGTGAAATAGTATAATGCATAAAATATCAGACAAAAATCCACAGTGAAAACCAGATTTGCTACCTGATTGTATTGTGCACAGAATGAAGAGGTCAAGTCATTTACCTGATTTACTATTTCTATGGTGGAAAGGAAGAGATCTTTATTTAGTTCCTCAAAGCGGGCGCGGGTGATTGAAGTTTCAAATTTGATGCCGAAGAGGGTCACTCCAATTTTAGCCGTTTCTGCGATAGACAATTGACGTTTAGCGTCTTCGCATTTTCGAGACAGTCGAGACAGAGCTTCCTGGTCCTTCAATGGGTTCTGTCCGTGCTTCTTCTCAAACTCCTAATACAAGCAAAGAGCATTCATTATTGAAATTAAATAGAGTAAACAAGAGAAGTCAAACGAAGATGACTTATACAGTTGCCACTATTCTGTCATTTAATGTCAAATCCTCTCAACATAACCATTTTCGATTTTTATTAAATTTGGATCAATGCTGCATACTATATAGAAAATGAGATACTGGAAACATTATCGTCTTCAGTAAATTTGATCTGAAGATCAAGGATTATTTAAAAACGTTCATTTCGTGACCCAATGGCACCCTCAAAAAAAGTGATAACATCTGTTCTAATCAAATTAGAGAATTGCGTTGCAGTTCTTTTCCAAGTATGTGTCTGTCATTTCCGAGTGGACGATAATGTTCGGTATCATCTTACAATATAATGCAAAATCATTACATAGATGCATTGCATTTTGACTTCATTTATCCACCGGGATTTATATCAAATTCGACGCTCATCTTTTGCTGAACATTTTGAACATGAGTGCAAAAGTCATATTGGGATGATTTTGGCTCAATGTTTCCAGACATGGATTTTTTTTTCCTTTACAAGTGAAAAAAATGCAACGCAAGTTAAAACACTGTCCATTCATGAGACAAATCACATCATAACTATTATAGGACGGGCTCAAGTTTATAACGGTATTCTAATCATCACCACAAATCACTGTCTCTGCAAGTGTCTATTGAATAGTAGGGTCATCAGGTTCCATCAGTCCATGGAAAATGGAATCGTGTTGTAGTAAGCTCTGAAAAATTAAGTCAGGCACCAAAGAAGAAGTTATGCTCAGGAAATATTTAATAGCAAGGAAACGAATTCTTCGTTTTGTCGGTGCAACCATCGAACTGAAAAGAGGTTCATACAGGGTGCCTCATAATCGTTTGGGATGTAAAATTTCCTGATCTTCAGACACTGATTGACCATCAGAATTAGTCGACTTTTGAAATTGTAAAAGATTTTTGGAAATGTTCTCAGCAATACCAAATCTTCAAAGCCTATTGGCGTGTTTAAGGCCCCAACTATTTTCTTTTTTTGATTGTGAACTTTTCAATAACCGAAGCAATCTGATTCTACTGCTTCATATTTCAGGAAACTTTGGAAATGTATATCGTGCAGTACCTGCTTTTGCTCATTCGTGTATTTGACAATTCCGTGTTGCACATTATATTGCATGGTGTTATCTATTACAATTTTTCAGATTTGCCCGAGTCTGTGCAAAATTAACGCTATGTTTTCTTGTGTACATAGCCCCACTGAGTATTTTGCGCTTTTAAAGATTTTTTTTTAATACTAGCAATACTTGCACGATCTTAGGTTTAACATATCTTTTAAATTTACTTATAATTTTCCCTTTGGCTTTCAAATAGCACTTCAAGAAATTTTTATATTCTTATGCTTCATTTTAGCAGGAAGTACGTGACTTGAAGTATTGTTTTGCAGCTGACATAACTCCACAATAACTATCAAGCCAGTGGACTCATAGAGGCGCAGTTCATGCAGAAGCTTCAGGGGCTCCCAACACGGAAGAGCTTTTAATTCTACAGCATCTTCCTGCTGCTTTCCATTTTTCCTGTCAGAATCACCTGGATCTTTCTTACTGTGCCATTAGGAAAAGTTCAGTGTCATTGGACAAACCACAATCGTCCACATTCTTGTCACACTCGAAATAAGTTCGAAATTCTTCTTGAGTCATTCCAAGGGGTGGTTCCTAATCAGTCGCTTGCATTTTCTCTGGCAGTTCGAATCCTTCTTTGGCTTTATGAGGGAAAGGAAACTTGCACTGCTTGAAGCAGTTGACCGTAGCTATTGGCTTCACTTGATCGAGTGAAATTCTTAATGTGCATGGCCGCAAGAAAGATGCGTTTTTGCCACGTCCTTTGCAATCGAGGTTTCATCTTCTTCATAGATGATCAACATCTTTTGCATTATCCTTCTATGGTAGTGGCACTTGAAGTTCTTCATGACATCTGCATCCATAGGTTGGGTGAAGGATGTCATGTTGGTAGGCCGGAATCCAATCTGGAAAATTTTCAGCATAAGGTTTATAGCAATCCCATGATAGGTGTCATTATCAATGAATAGGACAATATTTTTATTCCAAGGTTCAAGATCCAATCATGAAAGACCTGCTGGGTTATCCAGGCATACTTGTTTTCTTCATGACACCAGAAGATTAGGACTATTGAAACACTGAAGGATCTTGCTTTTGCCAGGAAACAGTTGGGCAGTGTTGCCATCTCCTGTCTGACAGGCCCAGAGGAGTACAGTTATCCTCACTTGAGCTTCTTACCTTCAATGGCACTTTCTTTATATTCGCAAAGGTGCTGTCTGGAATTTCACGGAAAACAAGCCAGTCTTACCCCAGTCACAGAGTCATGTGAGAAGTTGCGTACAAATGTTAGGAGCACATTTTTCACTCATGATGCTGCTGCTGTGCTTCAGAGTCTTTGATTTCTCCGCGTAAATTAAATAAAAACTAAGTAGGTAGTATTAGCGGTAGGTCTTCCACCTCGATAATCAGCCTCCAGAAGCAATAAAATCTGCTATGCATTCCTCTTATGCCAATTCCAGTGCCTCTTCTTGCATAAGACCTTCGCTGATTGTCTATTCAATCACATTTAATGGAATCACGGCCATAATATCTGTTCAACATCTGACTTGATTTCCCATTTTCGCGTCCTCTCCTGGTCTCCGTTCTTGTGGTCCAACTCCAATCTTGCTTTTGATGATCATGGGGTCATTCCATGTCAATCCTCTAGATTTGCTTTTGAAGAATTTGTTGCAGCAGTGGAGTGTTTCAGCGAATCAATGGTCACACACATGCTGGTGTGTCTTTTCCCATCCTTGTCATGATAGTTGGCAATAAAAGGGTGAAGAGTGCCCTGTGGGTTCTCCCTGTGGTAGCTCTGGATCTCATACTGCACTAAACATTTGAAATTCTCAGCCAAGTCACCGATGACAATGCAATGAGCAGGAAGCAGTGTCTCCTTCAGTGACTCCGAGTAAGCACTCAGTGTCTTAGAGATGTAGTGATGGCGTATTACCTCAGCAATCTTTCCTGACAGAGGGTCAATGAAATCTTCAGTGGATTCCTTTATTGCAATGAGGGAATTGCAGTCAGTGGCCACCAACTGCCTCTATTCTACATGTTCTAACACTTCAAGCTCCTCCAGTTCGTTCATGTACAGTGACACCAGTCTTTGAGCATTATCGTGAGACGAAGTAGCCCATGGGTTCCAAAATGGAAAAGGATAAGTTCTGGACCCAGTACGAAATTCATCTTGGAGAGTGGAGGAAAGTGTGACTGACGACCAAATTTCACTCCTGAAGAAATCTCAGAAAAAGACAGTGATGAAAAATGCAGCTTGTGTCTTGACAACGTTTTCACATAACATAAATTTCACCCACATTCTCAAGTAAACATTATTAATGTTTCAACTACATCTCGTATGCTGTCGGAAGTAAATCCACCAAGCAAGACAAAATACCTTTGAAATGCCCGTACTACTGAAGTAATACAGAGCTCGTGTCAATCTTGAAAAAGTCTCTTTGAAGAGCACATGGAGAAACTTTAGTGTGAACCACGTATGGATAAGCCATCAGGGCCGTGTTAGAGCTGGCAATCTGGTCGAGGATTTTGCATTGCTGTCAGGGATTCACTCCTTAGCTGCTCCAGGCGTGCCTGCCTTGTCCTCCCTGAGGCGAATACTCTTTTAAGATGTGAATAACCTCATCACCTCCGAGGCAAAATATCCGGTGAATCCCCAAATTCGAATGAACTTCAATTGAAGCACTCAATGAAAGTTCCACATATTGCCGCAGTACCTTTTATTATTTGTATCTCCTAGGAATTATGCTGCCATTTCAGACACCTCGGGACCAATTATGGACTGATTAATAATGTTACGAACTTCTGCACTTTAATGAATAGCAACATTATACAACATTCTTACAAATTGTTTTCAAAGAATCGTACAAGTATCTTACACAAAATGATTCAATGAATACCACTTACTAACTTCGTAAGAAATTCCTGGGAGAGGTTTGATGGTTACTAATTACGAGCTTTTCATTTATTTCAAATGAAAAAGTCTCTAAGAATGTTTCGTGGATACATCAGGAGACGCCAGGGGTGATTGAAAATGTTTTGTCTAGCTTGAAAATTATTAGCAGTAGAAAAGCATAACATACCTGTATATTAAACTATTCCATACTCCAGTTAATATAAATTCCTTCTACTGTAGAAGTGGCATCAGTCTGGCTCCTGTTCCGCAAAGTAATTTTTTCAATGTCAAAGGTCACTCAGACATGCTAAAATGCTAAAATATTTTTGAATATGTTTTTATTATGTGTTTCATATCTCCCGATTTTCCCCTATTAAAGGACACCTTGTTTATCTGAACCGGACCATAACTTCAGATTTTATCACCATGTTTCTCTGGGAAGTTAAACTCCGCCCCTGAAATTTCATATGCTTATATATTTTGAATTATTATTAAGAGAGGGGAAAAATTCACAAATATTTTTCCTTTACCAAAATAATCCCACACACAATTTTTCACCAAATTCTGAGAGGGTACCCCTATTCTATTGGGTGATTTGACTTGGACTGACCTCTTGGAAACATGCAACCGAGGAGTCTATGACTGCCTAGCTAGTTCAATTGCATCTATTTTTCGTCCAGGTGGACATTCAGAACGGTGATCCTTTCGACCAAGCCGAGGTCATTTTTTCCTATGATCAATTCCTAATGTGCAGATCTGATGTCTGTTGGCAAATGTATAATCCTGGAAAACTTGCTCTCACTTTTGCCTGAACAGGCAGGCTCTCACTTGCCTCATTTCTTCATCTGCAGCCTATATTTGCGATACTACTTCTAGGAAAGGGTGTGCCTGCCTTCACTCCTGCCTCCACCTTCGTTTCAAGGAAAAATCAGGAGGCAACTCATTACTGTGATTCCACGATGCACAAGCTTGAGATAGGGGAAATGGCAGGCAGGGACTATTTGAGAACCCGGAATAGAAACCATTTCTAAACTTTTACGGTGGATTAAAAAAAAAAGTAATATCTCAGGAAAGTTCATTCTTTTAACCCTTGTCCAGGCAAGTGGGGCAAAATGGGCTCTTCCTTTTAATTTATGAACCTGTATTCATATAGATGACCCGTTAGCATTTAATGATCATTAACATAGGAACACTTCGAGAGCATTCACATTAAAAAATAAATATTTACTCCATTATTAAATTAATTACTGAGACATATTATAATACTTTACTTTCCCATACAACGTTTTGAATTAAATTAGTGCACAATGAAGCACGGCATGTAAGCGTCACCATAGAGCAGTGATATTAATCAATGGAGAAAGACGACAGGATATTTCCAATTAGCCCAAAACTGAGCAGTCTTGCAGCGTAACTTTATTGTGGCCCAATTATGCAGTCAAATGGTTGAGGGGGAACCAGCAAGAGCGGGGAGCTGTTGCGAAACGCACACATAACATGTAATGAGATCATCGCACTCTTTTCACCTGTTTATGTCAGGAAAGTGTTTATGAATCTATCCACTTGCGAAAAAAATCCAAAACAATTCAGACATAGTAACATATTGCCTCATATCAACTAAAAAACGCATTAAATTTAAAATTGATGATCATTTTTAATATATAAATTGAAAAATAACAACTTACAAGTTGGTGAATCCAAGAAACTCCAAGGGGTTATTCCAACAACTGCATTCCTACACTATGGTCGCGTCTTCAGCGCTCCATTGCTCAGCATAGTGATTCATTAATTCATTATTATTGAAATAATTACGCCGATGATTTCGTGCGTGCCTAACTTTAAATCTCTTCATAATCTGCCCTCAGGGCTGATACTTGAAAAGTAGGATCTCCACTCAAGAATCGAAAAGGTACTACTGCTCCATTTTATACCGTTCTCTACTTCATTGGGTCAAAAAAGGTTCGGTAAAATGCGGCTTTTCCAAAAAAAAGTGCCCCCAGGGGGTTTACCTAAAAATGAATGTTTACTGACGTCGGAACTCAGAGAACTTCATGGCCATCAAGTTTCAACCTTATCCATTCGTTCTCTCCTCTGATGGAAAAATATGTTTGTAAAAGGTGATACAGCCAAAAGCTGTGCCCTGAGGGCATGCATCACAAAAGTTTAATTTTTTCTGAACTCAAAATAACATCAGTTATATGTGCGCGAAGTTTTACCAAGTTTATCCCTGTCCAATTCTCTAGGACGAACAATTTCATTAAAAACATCACTCCTAAAAAAAATAAGCCCACAGGGAATGTATGGAAAACTTGAGAGTGTTTCCCTGAACTCTGCAATCTCTGCAATCGTGGTCATGCGAAGTTTAATCCTTCCATGTTTCTCCGTTTGATTAAAGCTAATCATTATTTGAAAATATTTCAGCCAGAAAGGATGCCCAGCATAATGCCATTTTGTCCATTAAACTTGATTCAATGAATCACGTATCATTTGAAAGGGTGTCCTTAGTAGAGTTCACTAAGTGGTTCACTAAGGTTTGATTTAGGTAAAAATGGTACTTCTCGGTTAAACCGCCCGAGGGCACATATTTTGCAGATTTTCCTGAATTATCAGATCAAGCAAAACGAAGTGTGCTAGAAAGTTTAAAATAGGCAAAGAAGTACCTGATGAAAAGCTGGGTAGAAAAACAATTGTACTTTCATCTAATACTAAGGACGCGCCTTCGGCACTCGTGCTTTAAAAGAAATTTCTTTTAGAAAATGTTCATAGAGACGTCATATTATTTCCAGCATGAGGATCACAAATTGAAAATTCAGTGCGTCATTTCGTGTTTCTATATTGAATTGACATCCTCCCTGGGGGCGTCACACTCTTTGCATCTAAAACACAAAACCATATATATGTTCGGGGACAAAAATCCTAAGTGCCTACTTCCAACTCTTTCTAAAGCTACATGTAGTTGTTCATAACCAATCTACATCGAGAAGGCGAGGGAAAATCTTGTTTGCCGTTTCCATGTTACAAAAATATATGAAACCAATTCCCATCCACAAGCATACCATACCCGTACGCATCTACCTAACATATGACCTTGTAAGGCGTAGGACAAAGGCCTCGCACCGCATGCTAAGAGAGGCTGAAATGTTCCTCGATGTCAATAAGTAAAGATCGATGTAAGCCTGAGCATCCGTCCAAGGGTTGGATATAAGCTTTATGAATCATTCCCATCAAAGTACCTCCACGTCGAACTGTATCTGTCGCATTGCAAGCCAACAGCTATTTACTTTCCATCCCGTTTCCTTTGAGGAGGAATGTGTATGAGAGTAGTATTGGCCTAAGTGTCCTTCCATGGGGCACGCCTAGGCCTGAAAAATTAGTCTCCCTGAGCGTGTACACCACCTCTTCCGAAGTCTGAATTCCTCTGGAGTGAACAACGTAGCAATAACACACACTTCCTTCAACGACTGAGGAAGGAACGTAATCATGAGAATGGCATGAGCCTACACCTCCCTCAATGGGGCTAGGCAGCAGACTCCTAAGCTCATTTCTTCTGAGTTTCAGGGCGATAATTCCATTTCGACTATAAGGAACTTCATCGTTAATTTTATATTCTGGCGAACGAACTCTATCGGAGTCCCTTTTCCAAACTATTCTAAAGGTTCGATACAGTTGTCCATGAAAAAAGACGTCATTCTGCAAATGCAACCCGTAGTTATAATTTCCCGTTTCGTTGAAGTGTGAACATATTGAAGTGGGAGCATTGGCCTAAGCGTCCTTAAGTGACATAGCCTCCTTGTATCGAAATGTCAATGGAACACCATCTACAGTTTCCCCGCCAGAAAAAAAATAGAACCCATTCATATCTCCAAGCGTGCCTGTACGCGTCAACTCGTGTTCTCTTCACCAATGGCCCAACAGAATAAGTCAAACGCCTAGTTTGTCAGGCTAAGGTAGAGGGATTCCCGGTCAAATGGGCCGAGAAATTCCTCAATGCGAATTGCTCGAGTAAGATTGGTGTAGGCCTCCACGTCTGTCCAAGGTTTACCTATTGACATCCTAACTCAGGCCCCTCAGAGCACGTACCTTCTATGTCGAACTTCATCTGACGTGTGGAATAACATAGCTATTTCTTTTCTCTCCTGCTTCCCTGAATGAAGAAAATGTATAAGAGTGGTATTAGCCTAATCATCCATCGATGGGTTGAGCCTAGGCATGCAAAATCAGTCCCCCCCCCTCCCCAAAACATGCTCACTGGTTATGGACCCCCTAAAGTTGGGCATACAAAGTTCGACTTTCTCTGGAGTCGACAGCCTATCAGCTATGCACGTTCCTTCCGTTTTGTTAAAGGCAAGGTGTGCCAGAGAATGATTTAGGCCTAAGCGTTTGTCTGAGTGTTGGACCTAGGCCTACAAAGTGAGACCCCCTGGAATGAGCCCCCAGGGCACTTACCCCCAAAGTTGGAATTTTTCTGGAGTCAGCAATCTAACAGCTATTCGTGTACCAAGTTTCATCCTATTATCATGTCTAGAACATGGTTAGAATTAGCGTCAGTCAGTCAGTCAGGGGACGAAAGTCTTCGGGACGAAAGTCTTCATTCGCCTTCGGGACGTCATAGGGACGAAAGTCTTCATTTTTATCAGAATCATTATTTCTATGATTTCTAGTTTTCCTATTTGGAAACCTTTTCTTCTGTCCCTTTTTGAAAGGGTGGAGAATACATTTGAAATACTTTCCTCCTATAATCTACGCTAAGGAGACATGTATAAAAAGTAGGATTTTTCCGGTAGTCAACCCTCAAATCGATACTTCCGAGGGAAGTTTAAATTTTCTGTCTCGGTTTCGTTGGATAAAAAAAATTCAGGAAAGTGGGACTGAAAAAAAGGGCCCTGATGGGTTTTAACGAATTTTTTTAATTTTGAAATGTAGGCTCAAGGAACCCCATGGCACCCAGTTTCATCCTTATACGTTTCTCTTTTTTGCTGGCGGAAAATATGTATTTGGAAAAGCGACCCACCCAAAGGTTGTGCTCTGGGGAGAGGCACAACAAAAACTAAATTTTTCCTCAAATGAACATCACGTCCGTTATGCGTGCGCCAGCTACTTTTCTACTTTTGCCCGAATCGGTAGGATATGACATATTATTTGAAAACGTTAAGTCCCCAAGAATTATGAACCCCAAAAAATATTTTGGAAATTTGACGTTTGACATTTGACCTCAGTGCGTCAGCAGTCACGTCCATGCCAAGTTTCAGCTTTCCATGTCTCTCCGGTTTACTGAAGCAAAAATAATGTTATGGAGGGAGAATGAGTAACGGGACATGGGAGGCAAAAAAGCCAAACGAAAGCCAAAAAATGGCTGGGAATTGAACCCGGACCTTTTGATTGCCAGTCAGATATGCTACTACTACACCACCGAACTCAGGTCATCTTGTTGCTTCTCTGAATGCCATCCTCATCTGTCACAAAATATATTCAAGCAAAACCTTTCCCCCCAAAATGTGTACACCCCAAAAGGTACATGTGTACCAAATGTCAGATTTCTAACCTTTCTGGAACATGGTTAGAATTAACGTCAGTCAGGCAGTCAGTCAATCACGCTCCTCTATATATATTAGATGCTTGCAGGCGTTTCACAGTAGGTCGTTTCGAAGATGAAACCATTTCGCTGAATGATTCTTTCCTAGAAATAGTACAATTTCGCAGGACCAAAACAATTCACTTCGGTACATACTTCGAGAATAAGATCCCTTCACTACATAGTCTTTTTTACTTTAAACCTAAATATTAAATATTAAATAGCCTCTACAAGTCAAGTGAAGTGACTTGTCTGACAAGGCCAGGTAATCGGTTTTAGTAACAGCAGCAACCTATTTTGCGCTTTTCATAGCGAAATGCTTCGGTTCACTTGGGATGGTTCTTCTTACC